GGAGTTCAGTTGCATTGTGACAGTCAGAGTGCTACTTATCTGGCTAAGAACCAGGTGTACCATGCGAGAACTTTCATGACATATTTCTCCTAAGGGGCTGATATTCGCTAAGGTGAAGATTTGTTAGGTATATGTATTTCTCCTATGGAGGAGCTGGACATTCGCCAAGGTGGAGATTTGTTGGGTATATGCATTGGAGTTGGACATTCGCCAAGGTGGAGATTTGTTGGGTGTATGCATTTCTCTTAAAGGGGCTAGATATTAGTCAAGGTGGAGATTTGTTAGGTATGGCCATATACCATAAATAAGACAGATGCTGGAGCAGAGAGGAGCCCATGAGTGGAGTGGAGCGGAAGGATCTGTCCAATCAGGGGAGTTTCATTGTGTGGGTTGGGGGTGTAGGGGCAACAACACGCGGTTTGGTACATGAATAATTTAAGTAATTACATATTGTACTATATGGTTATATATATGTATTGTTTGTAACCCTAGGAGACTCTCCGAGACTCTGAGATGTTGAATCTTGTATTCTGTACTCTTTTCTGAATATTGAAAAGGGAAGTCATCGCCCTGCTCCCGAGAATGTAGGCATATTTGCTGAACCTCGTAAATCTCTGCGTGTTCTTCTGGATTTGTGTCGATTCCTATTTTTCTTCGCCCTAATTTCTCAACAATAATACATATGGACATTCGCCAAGGTGGAGATTTGTTGGGTGTATGCATTTCTCTTAAAGGGGCTAGATATTAGTCAAGGTGAAGATTTGTTAGGTATGACTCATATACCATAAATAAGACAGATGATGGAGCAGAGAGGAGCCCATGAGTGGAGTGGAGCGAAAGGATCTGTCCAATCAGGGGAGTTTCATTATGTGGGTTGGGGGTGTAGGGGCAACACCCCGCGGTTTGGTACATGAATAATTTAAGTAATTACATATTGTACTATATGGTTATATATATGTATTGTTTGTAACCCTAGGAGACTCTCCGAGACTCTGAGATGTTGAATCTTGTATTCTGCACTCTTTTCTGAATATTGAAAAGGGAAGTCATCGCCCTGCTCCCGAGAATGTATGCATCTTTGCCGAACCTCGTAAATCTCTGCGTGTTCTTCTGGATTTGTGTCGATTCCTATTTTTCTTCGCCCTAATTTCTCAACAATAATACATAGAAAATCAAGATCAATGACATAACAATTGTTAATTAGTCATTGCGCATTAAATGAACCTAAAAGGGCTTTTGAGGGGGCAAGATAAAAAGAAAATTAAATAAAATGGCAACATCAAAGGCTGCTTTGAAAAAAATAAAAAAATAAAAAATAATAAAAACTAAAAAACTAATAATAATTGATGTTAGTTCCCTCGCTACATATGGTGTTTTAACTTTATTACAATTAAGCCTTTCAAAAATGACATTAATATATAATGCCACTCAAGAGCCCTTCCCTTTATTTATTTTATGCTAATTATTTATTTGTTAATAATATTATAATTAATGTTTTCTTAACTTATTAAATTACTAATTAATGATTAATATAATTTGAAATGAATTTACCTTATAATTTGCACATTAATCATTAATAATATAAAATTACAGTGTATTTGTTTTATTTTCATGAAGCATTATTTTAATTACATAAAATACATTTAAAAAGAGAAGTTATATTAATTTAAAACATAATTAATTCACAGTTCATATGGGGTGGTGGCGCAGTTGGCTAGCGCGTAGGTCTCATAGCTTCTGAGTGATCCTGAGGTCGAGAGTTCGAGCCTCTCTCACCCCAATTATTTTTAATTTTCTTTATTTAAATTATAAAATTAAGAACGTTTCATAGAATTGTCAAAGCACGTGCTAAATACCTAAATATTTTTTTAATAATTAATAAATGTTTAGTAGTGGAAAATAAATGAGTTGTGATCAAGCTCCATTGTCTTTCTTTTAAATAAATCAAAATGTTTTTTTAGGAATTTATTTTGTTTAATAATTGGCAAATTAAAATGTTAATTAAACATTTTAGAACCTCTTTTTACATGAAAACTTTTCATTTATATATATATATATATATATATATATATATGATCCCTTATGTATTTTCTTTTATTTTGATGGGGAATTATCATCCCCCACTCCCTTTGTACTCACTTTGTACCCTTTTTTACTTTTTTAACATGTAAGAAGCAATGAGTTGCTCTTTTGAAATATATATATATATATATATATATATAAATAATCGGGATGCTGGCGGGTTTTAAATTTTATTTTTTTCAATAATTTTGGTTTAAATGTCAAAACTATGGAATGGACTTTGTTGATTTCTCGGATCATAAATGTTTAGAATCAAATTATTTTTATTCGTTGAATTTCCTTAATTGAGACACGAGTTTTAATAGTGAGCAAAAATTTTAAGATAATTTGGCGTTTCAATTAATATCTTTGAGTTTTTAATCATGCTTGAGTCAAAGTTGGCTCGCAAATTGAGTCAAAGTTAGCTCGAGGCCAGTTTGCTCTCACATTGAGCTAAACAGACGAGATATTTTTTCACGCAAGCCCTAGTTGGCATACAAGTCAATCTGACACAAAGCTATATCAAGTTAAGACATCAAACAATAGGCCATTACAAAAATACTTGCCTAAATACCACATCTTTATGATAAAAAATTAATTTCGATCGTGTCATTGGGTTTTGGTTCAAAATTTATCGGAGCCAAAAGTGTTCGACTCAAATCTCACCCAAATATTAAATGGGCCAGAAAGCATGTCAGAATGCTTAAATCATACACTAATTTCAACCCGACCGACCCAAACCCTACTCTCATAACACATTTAATATATGCTTAACAGCTACTTATGTGAGTTTTGAGTTAATTTTGAGTCAAGTTGGAGTCATATTCATATTGGTTGATCAAATTCGAGTATGCGGGATAGTTTTAGGTCTTTTTCTAGCTCTCCAATTAAATGCAAGGTTGACACATTTTACAATTAAAAGTATTTTATTTAAGGCAAATGAATAAATTAAATGACAAAATTTAATGGGTTTATTATATAAAATTAAAATTTGTTAGCTATAGTTTTAAAGTATATTAGATGTGAATTAGTAATTTAGATTTGTGAAGTTGTTAGCCAACTTCACATGGGATGACCAAGTTGTTAATTAATTTCATTTTATATATGACCATCATAGAAAAAAAAACAGCATTTTGAAATTATTATAACTCATATTAATGTAATTTGGATCATATTAATTAATATGTAATCATAGAATTATTATTACGTTACTAAATATTGTGTTACGGGAATTAATATTCTCTCACTTGGTCCAAATCATATCTTATATTTGCAAATAAATTCACGAATCAAGACCATATGTTCTCTGAAATTGAGTATATTTTCATGTATGACTATGATTATATTTTTTATACACATGTACATTTATTAAACATGTTCCTTCAATTTTTGTGATGGTATATCTTTAGTCAAAGGTTATGCTATCATCAATTCAGTACTTACGTGCTCAATAACCACTATATTTTTCTAAACACATTCTCTTATGGCTAAGTTCTTAATGTCAGTATGTTTGTTTCGACTACCACTTTTGTATTCTCAGTCAAACACATGTAGCTTAATTGTCACAATAAATCCTCAATAGCGTAGATGCAGAATCTATAAGTCTAAGCACGAAAATGAAACTCTTCAACCATATATCATGTGATGTAGCCTCAAAACAAGGCAAGAACTTGGCCTCCATAATGAAAATAGTAAAAGAAGTTTCTTTTCTGCTCCTCTAAGATACATCTCCACCAACAAACATGAAGATGTATCCAGATGTTGATTTTTGAGCATCAACACACCCAATAAAGTCAGAATCAAAAAGCTCCATCTTCTTTAAACTATCAGTCTATCTATATATAAACATGTAATCTTTGATATCTTGAAGAAACTTCATAACTTGCTTTGCAGCTCGCCAATCATATATATATGAATTATTCTACACATTCTTATCATTCCAACTACAAATGCCATGTCAGGTCTTGTTTAAAGCATATGAAATATTTTTTATTCTCCCTCTTTCAAAATTATTTTTAGAACACTGACTAAAACCAAATTCAATTTTTTTACTTGTATGATAGGACAATTTGACATTTTGCAACTCCTGAAATATCAGTTCGCTAGTTCTTAAATATTAGTTTGCTCTTCCTCGCTCTAGCCCTCTCTTGCGTTGGGTTTAGTTTGCTCTTCCTCGCTCCCCCTAAAAAAAAAGATTGGTTCCACTTTTGCTCATTGATATATATCTTGAAAGACAATGAAAAAAGTGTCTCTCACTATTTTAATGCTAATGACATAAGAGACATCACCCATATATTTCATATCAAAATATCTAGAAAGAAATGGTCTCATTTCACCTAATAAACCTTTATCATTGATTTTAAATAAAATACCAACCTCATAAAGGATTAAAAAACAAAATTTACTTCTAATCTTCTAATATATACATCTATCTATCACATTTTCTACAATTTCAAATAAGGAGATTAAATCATAAAACTTTAAATATTATTTTATACGATCAAAATTCTACAAAGGATCATATAATATACGAAAGTATATATGAATTAAGTAATATATAAAATTAAATCCAGAGAATCCGTTGGCCAGAGAGAGCAGCGAAACAAAGAGGAAGAAATATTTAGCTGATTGTCTTCCATTACTACCGAAAAATCGGGGCTTTCCCTCACGGTACGATTTATCTCTGAAGTCAAACTACGTGTCACTCTTCCGTGCCTTCGCTGCTCTTCTGCTTGATTTTTCTCTCCATTTCCTGACCTTCTGATTCAATCCTTTCCAGTCTTGATCCCCCCTTTCAGATCCGTTGACAAATCAAACCACCCCTCTTCCTA